ATTATTATTATTATTATTATTATTATTATTATTATTATTATTATTATTATTATTATTATTATTATTATTATTATTATTATTATTATTATTATTATTATTATTATTATTATTATTATTATTATTATTATTATTATTATTATTATTATTATTATTATTATTATTATTATTATTATTACTATTATTATTATTATTATTATTATTATTATTATTATTATTATTATTATTCCACCATCCAGTTAAGCCCACTTTTATTTTAAAAATTTCATTGAATTAACATTCGACATATTTCTTTCTGGTAATTATCACCACCTTTCCTATTTTTTCCTACCTTGATGGAATTATGCGAAAACTTAAATGATCACTTACTTCAGGAAAGGATTATTTGGTGGATTTGATTTAATTGCTTAAAATAAAGCGAATAGAAATTTCCGAGCGAAAGATTTGCTTTTTTTTTTTGAAAAGGATAAAATGATTTAATGGGAAATTTTTGCGAGAAAAAAAATATTTACATTCAAATACGTTCAAACTTCCATCAAACAGTGCTTCTGTTTAATTAATTGTTTTATATCACTTTTTCATATCAGTTTGTATTTTGTTTTGAGATATTCTGGAATGTATTTTTGTAGTTAAATCTAAAAATTCAATTCAATTCATTGCATATTTTATTTTGTGATTTGATTATGGTTGAACTAAAATACAGTTTTTAAAAAGAACTTATTGCAATATTTCAATATACTTACATCATACCTGTATTTATAATATTTTTCTTTTTGTTTCGAAAATTTAATCCAACGGAAATTAATTTCAAGTTTTTGATTTTCAAATTTTTATTCAAGTTTTTATACAGTAGGCACACTCACAAAAAAACTTTTTTAATTTTTACTAATTTTGAAATTAGTTCATTGTTATTGCATTGCTTCCTATTAATTTATAAGTTAATTATGGCACTTTTTCTTTTTTCTTGAAACAAATTTAAAAAATATTTTAAATTTATTGATTTGTTTATCTCTTGCTTTTTTGGATATTTATAATTTAATGAATTATTTCACTTGACATTGTTAAATTTTAATTTTAATAATGAAACAATTTCATTTTTCTTTTTATTTCTATGAATAAAATCAAATAAAATATAAATTTCAGCATTTGGTGAAGCAGCTACGGAATATCCATTTCGTTATCGAACCGGTAAATTGAATCAATTTGTCGGATTTGCTACACCACATCTACCACCACCAACTAATGGTCCATTTAGTAAGTATGCTTGCTTAATATTATTTATCTTTTTTTTTTTTTTTTAAATACATATATATCTTGAATCTTATGTTTACGATGTTAAAAATGAACAATAATTTCAAAAAATTTTTAAAATTTCTAAAATTTTTTTCGAAAAATTTCATGTTTTAAATAAGTTTTAATAAAAATGTATTAATTACATAATTAGAGCATTTATCTGCTATAAAGCATACATAATTGATGCAAATTTTTTGTTTAAATATTGAAAGGAAATATTATTTTAGATAAATAAAAATTATTTTTAAATTTTCGTAATTATAAAATGTAAATTGTACTTTTAATTCATATATAATGAAAAACATAAAATGATAAATATTTAATATGTAATTCATATATTATTATGTAATTCATTAATATGTAATTCAGATATTATTATGTAATTCATTAATATGTAATTCATATATTATTTTAATAATGCAATAATTTTAAAATTTTAATTAAAAGATTGTTAAATTTCTAAAAGTAAATTATATATGTGTATAAAACTGTGAATGCGTTCAATTTCGATATGTTGTAAAAAGCAAGTTTTTACTTTTTTTTTGGTTTTTTATTTTTTCAATTTTCGTTTTTTTTTTTTTTAAAGATATGAAAAAAAAACATTTCATTTATTCATCAATTTTTTTTCCATTTGATTTAGATATTTGATTATAATTAGAATTACAAAATGTAAATAAAATACAATTTCAATTATATTAATTTCTATTCGTGTAGCAGTATATATATATATATATATATATATAAACAAATGTTAGATATGCACACACCACACACACACATACACACACACATTCACACACATTCACACACACACACACACATTCACATATATATATATGCATATGCACATACACAAACATACATATATATAGGCTTACACATACATACATATACATATATACACATATACATTACATATATGTATATACACATGTACACACACACATATATGCACACACATGCATACACACATAGGTGAACACATAAACATACGCACATGTATATATATGCAAATACACACATACACACACATATATGTATATATATATACATACGTACACATACACGCATACATACGTATACACACACGCGTATACACATATACATACAAATACGTACAAATATACACGAATAAACACAGGTAAACCTTGTTTACACACCTGTGTATTAATGACGGAAATGGTCGAAGAACAGTTTGACTTTGACCTGTTTTCTTTTCTTTTTTTTTTTATTTCTATTTTTTGCAACAAAATGTTTGCATTTAACAGATAAGAAAATATTTCATTATTCTTAATAAAAATAATCATTGGACTAATAGCAAGTAAATGAATTATGCTAACATTTGAAATAATAATTAATATAAAAGCTGAAAAATGAAAATGATAAGTTAGAAATTGAAATTTGATCTAATCAATTAATCAGAATAAATCAGAAATTGAAAATTGATCTAGTCAACCAAAAATTGAGAATTAATCTAACCCAATTTGATCTAATATTTCACTTTATCATATCATGAAAATTATCAATTCTATGCAAACATCTTTTTTCCTTTCTTTCTTTCTTTGTCTTTTAGCAAATAGGTTCACATGACATATTTGAATGACAAATATTGTATTGTTGAAAATTTTCAGTTTAAGATAAAGAAAAAAAAGTTAACAATATTTATTTGATTTTTTAAAAATTGCATATCAAAATGCGATATATCAATTAGAAAATATCAAAATTTCAACCTTTGAAAACTGAAATTTAAATTTATTCTTAAAATTTGAATTTAAATTTTAATGCTTAAAATCATAATGCTTTCGTGTAAGCAGAAAAAAGAATGAAGGCTGTAAAGAAAAACTAACAGCAAGAAAATTAATTTTTATAGTATATGGTTCAATATGGGCATCATGGTCAGCATGGTCATTTTGCGTGAATAAAGTACGTGTACGTGTACGTGCATGTAATACAGTTCGAGGATTCTCATGTCTTGGTAAAAAACAGGTAATATTATAGTATTTCTTAAAAAATAAAAAAAAAAAAAATTACTTATGTACTGTTTTATTGTTTTATTCAAATGTTGTTTTTAAAATTTAAATATAATTTTAATTCTGTTAAAATAAATTTTAAATTTTAGAAAAGATTTCAAATTAATTGCAGATTAATTTATTTTAAGAAATTTATTGAATGTAATGGCATGGATTGTGTATCTTTTTGTTTTAAATCAAAAATTATTTTTTAAAACTTAAATATAGCTCTAATTTTAGTAAAATGAATTTTAAATTTTAAAAAAGATTTCAAATTAGTTACAAATTAATTTCTTAAAAGAATTTATTGAATGTGATGATATCGATTGTGTATCTTTTTGTTTTAAATCAAAAATTATTTTTTAAAACTTAAATATAACCTTGATTCTATTAAAATGAATTTTAAAATTTAACAAAGATTTGAAATTAGTTATAAATTAATTTATTTTAAGGAATTTGTGGAATGTGATGAAACAGATTACATGCAACCAGCAATACATGAATCTGATTATGTAGCAATTGATCCATGGGAAGAAGATCGACGAGAAGCTATGAAGCAACTTTATTCGAACAAATATATACCGGATGAAAATGAAAAAATAAATTTCGATGGAATTGATAAAATAAAATTTATTCCACGTGAATCAGAAATTCGACGACGTGAACGAAGTTCAAATCATTTCTAACTTTCATTTTTTTTTTTTGTAACTTTTTGCACGAAAATAAATTTAAAAATTATTTTTAGAAACATTCAAAAAAAGAAAAAGAAAAAAGAAAGAAACACGAAATTTTTTAGAAAGAACAAAAAAGGAAAAAGAAAAGATTTCTTTTCTCATTTGATTTCGATTAAAAGATAGTCAGAAGAAGAAATATAAAATGATAAGTGATAAATGTTTACAATTTGAGATTATGTTAAGATTTGTTAAATTCAAATTATTTTAATTATTGAAAAACGATTGTGTTGTAATGGTGAAATCCACCATTTGAAATTTTGGATATGACTAATTTAAATCCGTAAAAAATTTTATTTCTGACAAATTTCCCTTTTCAACGAAGAAAAAAAAGAAAATGAAAGACAAATGATTAAATGAAAAAATCTTTAGCTCAAAAATTTTAACATTTTTGATAAAACTAAATCATGAATAACACGATAGTAAAGGTGACAATAACTTTGGTGACAATATTTTAGCACAAATGACAACAAAACAAGTACATATTGATCAATCAAAGGAAATATCAAATGATGGAAAAATAAGTTAGTTTGAATTTCTTTTCTTTTTTTCCCCTCTCCTATATATCATGAATTTTATGGTGATAATGTTGAATTTTAATGCTAATCTGACTTATTCAATTAAAAATTCGATAATATTATGGATAAAAGAAGTAAATTGATTGATTTATCTTACAATTCATTAATTAATATGCAATTCAAATTAATTAATAAAGCAATTCATTAATTATTATCTCTAGATATGCACAACACAATTCATTAACTAGTATTTTCGGAAATATTTAAATTTTGGAAAGATAAAAAAATAATTATATATATACATATAATTAATAAATTATACACTTTGTTCCCATTCGATCTATAATGATAGCCAAAGTAACATAAATAATTATTGGTAAATGATTACTATTGATTAATTCATTAATTAGTTTCCGTTTTTTTTTCTTTGGCAGCCAATGATTTAAGTAATGCAATTAAAAATTTGATATAGTAAATGAATTAATGACTAATTTTTCAGTATTCTTCATTTTTCAGTATATCGTAAATTATTTGATTGATTTCATCGTCAGTTTTATTAACAAAATGTATTTTTTTAAAAAATTTTTACCTATTTCAATTGATAAATTTATGTCTTTTATAAACATCAACAATTTTGATGTAAAAAAACAATAACAATAGCAATAACAACAGCAACAACAACAACAACAACAACAATACTAATAATAACAATAAAACAAACAATAACAATAAAACTGATAATGACAATAGCAACAACAATAAGAACAACAATAACAGTAACAATAATAGAACAAATAATTAGGACAGAAATACATATACAATTGATAATGAATTCAAAATGTTGAAATAAAATTTTTCCAAAAATTTTAGCTTCAACATTGAATGCTCAAAATTTGATTGCTACAACAACAGCATTGTCACCATCTGTGGAAATTAGCACTCGTGCACCATTATTTACTGATATCGAATTAAAATCAAATTATCTGCAACAACAAGTTCCTGCATCAATGAATCACGTATCGATACCATCGATACAAACAATTCATCAGAAACCACAGGTTGCTCATTTATCACAACCATCAAATTCATCACAACCTGAACAAATTCAACAACGATCAGTGCTTTTTACAGCAACTGAACGAATTTTAATAGGTGAAACAGATGAAGAACAGGTTTCATCAAAAGGACAAGAAATGATTACAACATTACCTGCAAAAGTTTTGGTATGGATGCCACCTGGTATCACCGGTTTAATTTCACATGAAACATCTAACAAATTTCATGATATCAATGCAACAACTTCCTCCGATAATTCACTAAATTCTATTGTATCTGAAACCCTTATATCACAAGCTAATGAAATACCAGCATTATCATTATCATCGTTATCACCATCATTGTTACCAATAACAACAACAATAGCAACGGCAACAACAACAACAGCGACGACAAACACAATGCCAATGACTGAAGTAGAAGCGAAAATTTTATCTGATTATCAATTCCCCATAGCGGTACCAGTAGCTAGACCATTAAACCCAACAAACATTCCCGAAGCAGTGATAAGAGATAACAAATTTCTCGATCAGAATCCGCAATTCGTAATTCCGGAATCGAATGTGATGCAGATAGGATTAGAAAACTCAAAAATCCATTCAAATCCCATTAATACTATGCCAAGAAGTTATGAACCGAATCAATTTTTGTGAGTTTTTTAATTAACAATTTCATTGATGCAAATATTTCAAATTTCTAACAGGAACGATGCATTACTTTTTCTGCGATTATTCAAATTGTTAATTAAAATTTTCACTGAATTTCCTTTTCCTGATTGGTTTGATAGCTTTTTGTTTTGTTTTGTTTGATTGATTGTTTGTTTGTTTATTTGTTTGCTTGTTTGTCTGCTTATTTGTTTGCTTGTTTGTCTGTTTGTCCGTTTGTTCACTTATTTATTTATTTGTTTGTTTATTTGTTTACTCGTTTGTTTGTTTATTTGCTTACTTGTTTATTTGTTTGTTTGTTTACTTGTTTGCTTGCTTGTTTATTTTTGTGTCTGTTTGTTTGCCCATTTGTTTGTCTGTCTGTTCGTTTGTTTGTTCGTTCGTTTACTTCACAGTTCCCTGTCTGTTTGTTGCTGTTTGTCTATTTGTCCGTTTGTTTATTTATTCGCCCATTTGTTTCCTTGTTTATGCCTGTTTATTTATTTATTTGTTTGTTTATCCGTTTGTCCGCTTCTTTATTTGCTTGTATGTTTATTTGTCTGTTTCGTTATTTGTTGGCTTGTTTGTTTGTTTATTCGTTTTTCGTTTATCTGTCTGTTTGTTTGTTTGTTTACTTGTTTATTATCATTTTGGCTTGGTTTTCTTTTTATTTGATTGATTTTGTTAAATGATTGCAAAAGGACAATTTCTTTGGAAGGAAAAAACAAAAATTATATAATTTCTAAAATTTTAAAAATCAATAATTCATCAAAGAAACATGAAATAGAGGAGAAGATCGACAAGCAGTATCATCATTTGTTATCCAACCGGATACCAAAAGTAACTGGAGATATGCTCCACGAAAAGTACCGGAAGCATCAACTTCTGCATCGAAAACGCATATCATCGATCAATCAGACAAAATATTGCAGAATGGTGAAGTTGATTTTGATAAGGTGAATAGCTTATATCATTTATTATTACTTCAACAATCATCATTATAACATGTAGTCACAATTATTAATGTTTTTCATTATTATCTGAATAATTACATTCAGAATTATTAAAAAGAAAATTATTCCGTGACTAAAACTTTTTTGTAAGAATTGATAAGAAATTTTTATAAAGTAAAAGATTCATTTTGAATTCAATTAATGCAAGTATAGAATTTTCATATATAATGAGTTATGTCATGTAGGCGTTTAAATTTTAAAATTTTATTGTAAGGAAAATTTTGCTGATAATAAGATAAGTATTGCAATTTGCCGCGATAACTATTAGGATATTGAATTCTGATTAAATAAATAAGTAAATCGTTATTGTTGATGCATGCCTAAACTACTTTTATTGAAAATTTTAGCAAAAAATTGCAAAAGTAGCATGGATGGAAAAGGAAAATAGAAATGAAAATGATTTCATGTTTGATATTAGGCAAAAGATTATGACAATGCTGTCGCTGATAAAGCATTAAATTTATTATTGAAAGCAATGTCCTATGATGATGATGATGATGATATCGATCAACCGCAGGAGAACTCATTACCTGATAAGGTTATTAATTATCCAACAATTAAATAATTTTGTTATGCGTATATATATATATATATATTTATTCATTTATTTATTTACATTTATATTTATATTTATATTTATATTTATATTTATATTTATATTTATTATTTATATTTATATTTATATTTATATTTATATTTATATTTACATTTATATTTATATATATATATATATATATATATATATATATATATATATATATATAT